ACCTATGGGTTTAGGGACCAAAGTCCAAGTTTGATTAACAATCATAGATTGTAATTCCTCTTGCATTGCTTTAACCCATTCATTTGACTTAGAACTCTTTATAGCTTGCTCAAAAGTTTCAGGCACATTATTTTTAACAGTTTCAGAAGCTATAAAGATAAACTCAGCTAGATTAGAGATGTATTTCCTATTAGGAATAATATTTCTAGGTTCTCTATCTCTAACAAGCTGGTAATCAGACAAGTTTGGTTCTTCATGTTCATTAGAGGTACTATCATTTAGAACAATTTCACCAAAATTTTCATTTTCATCAGGTAAAACAGGTACATCATGCAAATTACTCAAATTATCAAGTGAGGGTAAGGTACTACCTTCCTGGGTTGAGTCAGTATTAAATTGTGCAATGCCTTCAGATGAATCATCTTGGTCAGAATCTGACAAAGATTGATCATCAATACCTTCATGAAGTCCTCCAACATCAATGTCACCTTCTGACAGACTCTCATTGCCCAGAGAATCAAAGAAGTTACCATCAGAATCATCTGTTATAACACTAGAAGATGCATTAACACTTTTAAAGTGAAATTCAGATTCATTAAATGTAACATCTCTAGAAATAATGCATTTATAAACTCCAGGTTGAATAACAAGGAGTTTATAACCTTTCACACCTTCTGGATAACCAATCATAACACACTTAATAGCCCTAGGTTCTAACTTACCTTGAGAGATATGAGCGTATGCAGTACACCCAAAGGGCCTTAAATGAGTTATGTTTGGTTTCACACCAGACCACATCTCCTGGGGGGTTTTGAAACCCACCACAGAGGATGGTGATCTGTTGATCAAGTAAGTAGCTGTGACAACAGCTTCACCCCACATAGAATTTTTAAGACCAGACTCTATTAACATGCATCTAGCCTTTTCAAGAATAGTCCTGTTCATTCTCTCAGCAGTACCATTCTGCTGTGGGGTGCCAGGGACAGTTAAAAACCTTTTAACCCCTTCAGATTTGGAGAAATTATTGAAAACATGGTTACAAAATTCAAGACCATTATCAGTTTTCAAACACTTCAGTTTAAACTTGGATTGAGACTCAACAAGCTTTTTCCAGATTTTAAAACTGTCAAAAGTTTCATCTTTGGTTTTCAATAAGTAAACCCACACTTTCCTAGAAAAATGATCAATAAGAGATAGAAAATATTTTCTTCCTCCTAGAGTTCCAGTTTTAGAGGGCCCCCATAGGTCAGCATGGACCAATTTCAGGGGTTGAGAAGCAGTATAGGTAGATTTGTCAAAAGTGTGTCTGGTTTTCTTACCAAAAATACAGTTTTCACAAAAATCAATTTGGCTTGGTTTAAAGTCGATCATTCCATTTTTAAACAATTTGTTAAGTCCAACATTTCCAATGTGACCTAACCTTTTGTGTCAGACCTCAGTTTATTTTTGAATAGCAATGTTAGTATCAGGGGCAGCTATATTTAGCTCAGAGGAACCTTCAACAATGTAAAGACCTCCTTGCTTAACAGCTTTGATAAGATGATTTCCATTTCTGGAAACCAGCTTAATGCCAACCTGAGTAACAATGCTACAACCTAACTCATCAAATATAGATTCATACAGCAAGTTTCTTCTCAAATAAGGAACCCATCTCACATTTTGAATGACCCTAACAACTCCATCAAACATCCTTAAAGGCACATTACCTATGCCCTTAATATCCAAAGCAGTATTGTCCCCCAGCATCACCTTTCCCCCATTGTACAAGTGTAATGAGGAAAATATAGCTTTGTTGGGGGTGGCATGCAAGGTACAACCAGAATCAAGGATCCACTCATTTTTCAAAGAAGAATCAGAACAATTAAGCAATTCATGTTGTATTATGTTAGCAGACTCAGTATTAGAATTAGGATTAACAGTGGTTTTTGAATCACCCTGTTTATCCCTTTTCTTTTTCCTACAGTCTCTAGCAAAATGTCCCTCTATGCCACAGTAGTGACACTTAAAACCTTTCTTTTCAGAATTTTCCTTATCATTTTGTTTCTTCTTTTTAGAGCCATTTTTCTTACCCTTTGATTTACCCTTGATGAGTATCTTTTATCTTTTCATCCACTTTCTCAATTTCTTGTGTTAGTTTCATAAAATTATCCAAATTATCAGAAAGAGACACAAAAACATTCATCTTAAAAGTGAACAACCTACATAACAGAGATATTTTCTAGACATAGACTTTTTCATGTAGGTTGATTCCAGGGTATTCCATAAAACTTTAGGGTCTGTAATAGTTGAGAATTTTCTTGCAACATTACCAGATAAGAGAATTATCAGTTCAGAGTAGGCAGCATTCTTTAATTCAACAAGGTTAGACTCAGATATTCCAGTAATTTCAACATCAGAAACAACTTTAAAGCATTTTTGCTTCATCAACAGGGCCTTCATCTTAATCTGCCACATAGGGAAATCACTAGTACCATCAAAGATGCGAATCTTGGTACTAGAGTCAGACATTTTCCCAATGCGGACTCAAGAAAAACAGATATAAACAAGAGCAGAAATCAGACAGAGTCAAAACACACAGCAGCAAGCACAAGACAGAAAAGTTCTAAGCTAGGGTTCCCAGAAAGCGAACAAAAAAGAATAATCAAGAACTAGGGTTTCAAGAAATCAAGAATTAAAACCAAAGGTTAAATTTCAGATTTCAAGAAATCACACAAGGCTCTGATACCAAATTTGTTCTCAGACTTAAACCAAGTCATAGTCACACAAATCGGATCTCAACGATTCAAACAAGCAAACAAAGCAATACAGAAAAGTAAAGACACGTGATATGATGACGCAGTTCAGAAGAGAACTTCCTAATCTGCGGGGTTTCAAGAGGGGAAACCCGATCCCAGGCAGATCCACTAGCTCAGAAAAGGTTTTTACAACCAAGATGGTTGCAAAGTAATTAGACAACGACCGGTATCAACATGCAATATACAGACATACGACTCATAACGATAAACAACAAGAGAAAGTTCAGAGTTATCCAAGTTCGAATCTAGTCAGGAATCGAAGGGCAGAAGAAGACTCCCGGATGAACCAGCAGACTACTTCAAAGGACATGCTTCCTCCTTCCTCGCAATCGTCACAAGAAGATGGCTTCAATCGTAAGAGATAACAGATTTCAGACACTCTCTCTCAGAATTCTCTCTCTAGGGTTTGGTGTGTATGCAGCGGAACAGTGCAGAAGGGGAGGACGAAGGTTATATAAATAACCTTTCATCCGGGCAAATGAACTAACCAAGAGGCCGGACCCAAAAATAGGCCCAACAACAAAAGGTTAAACAAATCAAGCCCAATGCACCAAAAAACAAACCCAAACAAGAGATAACCCAAGAAGAAATAAATACAAGTCTAATTACTTTGCCATCCTATCTTAATTATAACAAAAAGAACATATGAGAGAATTAGGATTAAATAATAATCCAACAGAATGCTTCCGGCCTAGCTAGAGTTGTCAATAGTTTAGTTATTAGTTATTACTTATTAGCAAGGCCAAGGTATAAATGTTATGGATCGGAGTAGTAATTAAGCAATTAAATTTGATTGATGAGCTGTTTGCGACGCGAGCGAGTTGGCGGTTGTTCAAACTACCGTCCGGCAGCGATGATAGACAGGCCTGCGGCACATTGAACTTCGATTCACAAACACTTCTCACATCTGCTCCATTAACGACTTTCGTTGCGGCTTTATCGTAAAATCCGTCATCAAATTATCTTAAAAAACAACCTTATAAGAGAAGTAGTTCAAGCTCTTAATTTAGCACTTTACAACTTCATATTTGTCATCATTCATTTTTTTGTCATTTTGTTATTGTCATTTTTAATACAATTGCAGCGTTACTTTTCAAAGGGGGCCCACACCATGGTTATGGATCAGTTTGACTTTAATATCATGTTAAAATTCAAAGTTTTATTGTAAAAAGACAATCTGATATGAATGAGTAAGCTAGAATTTTATTACTACTTCCGTCCCATTCAAAGTTTCACGTCCACTATTCACATGGTTAACTTAAATCATTCTTAATCTTTGGCTTTATATATCAATTTTTTATCAAATTTAAATTTTCTTAATCAGACTTTGTAAATTTTTTTAATGTAGTTTCTGAATATATAAATTTTGTTTATTATTATTATAAGAAAAAGAGATAAATCACGTCTGAACTTTTTTTATCTGATCTGATCTGAATGTTTCTGATCTGATCTGACCTGAATGGTTCTGATCTGGTCTGATCTGAATGGTTCTAATCTGGTCTGAATTTTTCTGATCTGATCTGAATAAAATAAGAATAAACAACAAGTAATAAGAATAAGACGAACATAAAACTTCTTTGTTTTCCTACATGCCGTGGAGATGAGATCTCCGGCAACTTGGGCATGTAAGAAGGCACCAAAGATGTATTAGGAATTTAGGAGTATTACTCTCATATTTACTTCTATTATTGCGCCATGCAATTAGTAAAGGGAAAATTACCGAAATATGAGTAAATAAGTTTGATAATTCCAAAATAGGACTGCCATATATTTATTCCCAAAATAGGAGTAATTAATGTCAAGTTTAGAAAATATTGTCATGTTTTAAAGTCTGGTACTGCCAAAACACACCAGTAATTAGTCTTATTTTAGGAATAAAAACATGATAGTCCTATTTTGGAATATACAAACGTTTTAGTCCTATTTAGGGTAATTTCCCTGAGTACAAATGTAATGTATGATTATAGTTATTCAGAGTTGTTTAACTCCTAGGTGTACAAAAAATGAATAATTTGATGAAAAGAGTTAATCAAAGAGAAATGTCCTAAATGATAGAAAACGTTTGTATATTTCAAAATAGGACTGACATGTTTCTATTTCCTAAATATGAAAAAATATTGTCATGTTTAGGGAACATGACAGTATTTTTCAAATTTGACTCGTATATGAACTTTTATTTAGGGAACAAAAACATGACAATCATATCTTGGAATTTAAATCGCATATTATTTTGATATTGTTAATGTAGTATCCGTACGAATTAAAGACAAGCGAGAGGCATTACAGGTGTAATGAATGGACAAATCCATAACAGTTTCGCTCGTAGTTGTAGTTCTTCAACCCACTGTTTCTAATTAAATAAACATAAAAATAGCTGAATAACACTTTTTTTGTATAAATTTCAATCCAAAAGGATCTTACAGCTACCTACAGTGCATAATCAAGCAATCAATGACTTCAGTTACTCCATTAACTCTGATAGAGCAGTCTTTTGGAACGGATCAACCTGAGGCAACAATATATGCAGTTCTTTCCTTGGAACCACATTATCACCCTTCATCCTTTCTTTCATCCCATAAGCTGGAATCTTTGCATTAGCATAGGCCCGCACTAGTGTTTGGTACAGCCAATAAAGGGACGAGAACCCTCCCTGTCTCATCTTTAAGAAAATCTTCTCACAACTATGGACGTTCCCCTTTTTAGCATACTCCTCAATGATGACAATGTAAGATTTCAGCATCGGCTTCATCCCGTTCTGCTCCGATGCCTTCATTAGTATTGATTCAGCTGTTCCCAACTCTCCGGCTTCAATGTAAAGCTTCACAAGTGAGTTCCAAGTGGATATGCCTATGTGGCACCCATTATCTCTCATCCGCTTCACCAAGTCCTTCCCCTTGGTCAACATCTTATTATTCGCGTATGCGTTTAACAGAGGGGAGTAATACTTTGAAGAGATGTTGGGGTATTTCTTTATCATCGTTTCGAATACTTCTTCTGCCTTCTCAATGTTTTTAAGCCTTCCCCAGGCTTCAATGGCAGCAATGCATTGTTCCAAACAGGGGTTGGGTTCACACAGTTGCCAGATCCTGCTGACCTCATCAGCATTCCCAAGGATTGCGTACAGTGGGAGCAAATTTGTATATGCCCAATACTTTCCTTCTGTGAGGTCGTTTTCCATGTCTTTCATCACAACATCTGCTTTATTTTTTAGACCCCTGTAGATATACGTCCTGGCAAGGAGTCGTTTGGTACCCATGTCAGGCTCTACTCCATCCTTCTTCATCATGTCAACGATCTCTTCCATTCCAGCAATGTCGTCACGCTGGCCCTTGGCATCTATCAAGATTTTGTAAGTGAATGTGTTTGGTTTCACGTTTTCCTTCTCCATCAGTAAAAGAACATCTGAAATTTTTGATTTGTCTGTCCTCTTGTATAGCAGGAGCAGCTGGTTGCAAGTGAAGCATGAAATGGGGAACTTGAGGTCTTTTATTTTGTTGAACACGCTTTCTGATTTTTTCAGGTTGTATGCAGAAACACAATTTGCCAAGAGAGCGCGATAAACAATTTCGCTTCTCAATGGTTGTGGGATTTTTTCTATATAAGCTTCTGCCTGATTTAGACCACGGACTTTGGCAATTAAATCAACTCGAGAAGCACAAATCACATCCGTTAATTCAGTATGCTTTGATGACTCCAACCACTCTGACAGCTGTCAGAAGAGAAATGTTTAGCTAGTGAAGGGCTTATGAATTAGTATACACTCCAAAGAAAAAACTGTCATGATTCACTCTCCATGAAGGTCACCCACTCAAATTTAACAAAAATATTAAAACATATGCCTAAACTCCGTCCTGAGATCATTTTTTATATCATGCCCCTGTCCCAAGTCAGGATACATGATGAGGGTGCTGTGATAGCCTGATAGGCATGTGACGGCCAACAGTATCATCTAAACAATATCTAGTCACATCACATAACATGAATCAAAATATGAATATCGCTAGTGGCTCTGATATAATGGACTGATTCATGTTAGCCGACCCCAAAATCTTTTGGGAATAAGACTCGGATGTTGTTGTTGTAGTGTTAAAACATATGCCTACTTTTTCTAAAGAAGTTATATATGAAAGGCTAGTAATACACCTAGGACACGTTTACTTCACGGGTTAGTAAACGGTGCTTATTAAGACTCGCGTTAATAAGTGGCGCATAAAATAAGCAGTGTCGTAAGCTCATGTTTACTTCAAATGATTTAAAACACCGTTTAACATTAAAATGTCCAAAATAACCCTATAGATATATACACACACAAACATTTATGAACACAAGTATATAATATAATATGTGGGGTCACCTTGTACGCTTAGTCGCTTACCCACACCCCTAACCCCTACCCCGCTCTGTACCCCCACCCCTCACCCTACCCCCAATTCCACACCCTTGACCCCCACCCTTACCACGACCTTACCCTCCACCCTTACTCCCACCCATACCAACCCCCCACCATACTCGTAGGGGTTAGGTCGAGGTAGGGGCATGTGATATGGGGTAAAGGGGTGAGGGTAGGGCAGGGGGTAGGGGGTTAGGGTCGGGGTAGGGAAGGGGGCGAAGTAGGTGGTGGGGTCAAGGTCGGGGTCGGGTCAAGGTAGGGGAAGGTGGTAGGGGGTAAAGGGGTGAGGGTAGGGCAGATGGTGGAGGGTAGGGTCGGGGTAGGGGGTGGGGGTGGGGTATGGTCGAGTCAAGGGTGGGGGTTGGGGTCGGGGTAAGGAAGGGGTGGGGTCAAGGTAGGGGCATGGGATTAGGGTCGGGGTAGGGAAGGGGGTGGGGTCGGGTCAAGGTAGGGGAAGGTGGTTTGGGGTAAACGGGTAGGGTAAAGGGTGAGGGTGGGTGAGGCAGGGTAGGTGGTGGAGGGTAGGGTCGGGGTAGGGGTAATGTGGGGTGGGGTATGGTCAGGTTAAGGGGGTTAGGGCGGGGTTGGGGTTAGGGTCGAGGTAAGGTAGGGTAGCGCGAGGTAGTGGGGTAGCAATAGGGTAAGGGCAAGGGGTAAAGGTAAGGGTAAATTCGGAAACTGAAAAAGCTTAGAGTGTCGCTTCACTAATACATGGGGGTGGTATGCTTAGTAAGCGGCACTTTAAGCAACTCTTTCGGTTAGTAAGCAGTGTTTTAAGCAACTTACGTGTTTACTTCACCTGTCTTACTAACCTAACTGTGACTTTGGCAGCAAAGTAAACGCCTCTGTAGTATTTTAGGGTATGTTTGGTTTGAAGGAGAGGAGGGAGGGGGCAAAGAAGAAAACTAGCGTGTTCTTCCCCCCACGACCATAATCCTTCCCCTCCCTGCCTCTGGACAAAAGACACACGCCCTTAGGGTATGGATCACGTAAAATGATTTGCAAAGGAAATGAAATTCTAAGAATGAATTTCTTATGGTTGGCTTCACTTTGGGCAATGGAAAAGATAAGGAAATTTGTTTATAGTTGAATTTCTTAGTGTTTATAATTTCTGTCCCGAAATTACCCTTGGTATAATAATGGGAGGTATTGGTCCAAATAAATAAATGAGGTAAATGAATAGTCAAGTAGGGGAGTAAATGGGTACTTTCAAAGTAAAAACTTGCCAAAATTAGAAATAAAGTAAAGTAAGAAGTTAACTTTGGGACATCCCAAATAGGAGAAATGTGGAAGTTAATTTCACGATGAAGGGAGTAAACAAATAACATTAGTTTCAACAAATATCAAATACGGGCTATAAGTATATAACTGTATTTATTATGCTTCTATCCTCTATTTCCTTCACACCTTTCTCTATATATTCCTTTTTGTATTTTCTTTTATATTATTTTCCAAGTATTAAACAGACAAAGGATCAAATGGATCAATCACTAGCATAATCTAATGTATATGAAGCTTAAGTCAAAAGTTTAATAATATTGACCAATTGAATTGACATAAGTGATAACAGTAAGTCAATAGAACCAATTGTAGACTGGTACGTAGCACTTAAAAAAATATAACAATCCCTAAACACAAATTGACATCCAAAAGGCAAGAAACAGCAAATAGCAATCAGAGATCAAAGATTACCTTCAATGCTTTCCCATACATATTCCTCTTGCGAAGTTCACGCAAGATCATTAATATGTCTGCTCTCGTCAACTCTTTTCCTTGTTCAATCCATTCATCCATGACACGGCTAACAGTCAGTGGTGATGCAACCAAAAGAGACTTCAATATTTTTGAAGAAGCACCTGTTTTTGTGACCTTTGTTGTGCTCACCTCAGTGTCTAATAAGCCTTCCACATCCTCATCAGATGTTTCTGACTCAGAGACTGAATCATTATCATTGTCTGAATTGCCCTCTTGAATTGAACCAGATTCTGAAGTGATGGAGGAAGAATTAAGCCCAGAAAATACGTCCAAGTCATCATCATCCTCTCCGCTGCTGTCTGAGCCAGCTTGTGAAGAGAAACATAAGCTTCCCTTGAATGGTGCCATTTTATGAAATGTCACTACAGATATATCTCTATTAGCAGTCCCATTAACTCCAGTGTCATAGTAGTCTTTAAAGCAACAACTTGATATCTCTTGTGTGGCAAAGCAAAGTTGGGCAGTAATGTGGTTCAATCCTTGCTTCCTACAGAGTAACAAATATAATCAGTTTTAAGTACATATTACTTCCAAGTTAGACTTGTTTATACCTGGCGAGCTTTGAATAGTGGAGTAGTATATGCATGTTAAAAAGTTTATGTTGGTTTCACTCAATTCAAAGTATTTAACTTGTTTGGGACACTTCTATAAAAATATAATAAATATGATGAAAATTGAATTCTTTTATTAAATAGGTCTCTTTTTGAGAGACCAAATTATGTTTCCAAAATTGACTCTTTTCTTCAAATGGAAAGAGTACTTATTTTCAAATGCCCAAGCTGATAACTCCATTTCAAAACCATGCTACTTTCTAATGCCTCAGAGCATGTCACTCTAAACTCTTCATTCACTGTCAACTATTCATGAAGCATTTAACCAAAATTATAGACAACTTAAGTAGAGAAAACAGCACTCTTAGTAGCTTATGTATTATACTCATCTTTCATATTTGTGAAGTGTAGTCTCCCAATTGTTTGATTTGACATATAATTACTAATTAGTCCATCATCTTAATATCACCATCTAGCAATAAGGTTTTAGACTTTTAGGACATTCTCAAAAAGATAGATTATCGAGAATGACCGACATAATTAAATTATACTGTTTTAAGGTAAAAACAAAATTTTAAAATGAGTACATTGCGTATAAGTTGCACTGATATATAACAAATCAGCAACTATATTTACAAATTACAACTGATAGACATCTCCTGCATTATATACTTATACTGTCTCACACATATTGGTGGGCTAAAAGTCTGGCTTTCCCAATTAAGTATGTCGTTTTTCCTGTGTTATGGAAAAACATTTCTAAGTTTAACCAGGCCTTTGATATCAAAAGCTCTACCATGTGCCTCAATGCCAATTTTTAATAGGACAAGAATTTCAAAGTATGTTACAAGCAATTTGTAACACAAGGACATAGTTGTCGATGGCGAGGAATGGTGCGCGCGCCATGTGCCATATGGTGAGAAAACCCTCCAGCGCCATGAAAAGTCCTCATGGCGACGACCATACCATGGCGGCGCCATATTTGTGCCATCACCATGGCAATTGCGCCATAATATTAAACAAATATGAACCGGTTTACTTTGTGATTTTTGGGCTTTTGGCCCTGATAAATACTTAAATAATCTGCCAGGACATAATATTAATAGAACCCTAATAAGAAATTAATATGTTAGCCCACTATATTAACAAAAAACCTAATCAAAAGTAAATAAAGATACAAGTAACACGTAAAGTCAGATAAAGCTGCTTAAGTAAACGTAAAAACTGGAGTCTGAATTGCGCAACAAGGAACGACAAAAGGGAACTCCTTGACTCCTTCAAAATATAAAATGTACAACATGCTTCTTTAATATTAATGAAGAATAACTTCATTTGATTCAAAACTGTATTGAAATCAGGATGTAGTGGAAGAAGCTGTTGGTGTTAATGAAGCAACCCACAACAAAAGAGCAACAACAACGCTTCAGCTGCATGATGAAGAGGAGACGAACCAGATTGAAGATCCTTCTAAAGAGTGAAATGAATGAGGATAATGTTCCATTGCTATCAGATCCAGACCAAGATGATGAGGAGGAGTGTGATAATTGATGATGATTGTCGCATAATCATCGAACAAAAACAAGTTAACATATTTTGAAAGACATGAAACTTTTTTTGAATATTATGTTTTTTGGAACTACTTTAAACTATTTTAACTTCACATGTTTTGGTTAGAATGTTGCCATGTTTCTATTCAACTTTTTTGATCATGCTTTTGGTGGTTGGGTGATAAAATCATAGTGTCTATAATTCATATTTTTAGACATATGGCAATGCCATAATTGCGCCATCGCCATGAGAAATGCCTTGGCGCCATGGATGTCACCATGCGCCATGACAACTATGCACAAGGACAATGATCAAATACATTATTATCTGATAGCTTTGAAGTTTTAACATTATTGCAAAGTGAAACTTAAAGGCTCCAAAGAAATAACTACGAAGATATAATTGCCAGCAACCCCGGGTCCTCGAGGCTTAGGTTGTGATGACATATTATACGGAGTATCTCACTATCTCATAACAAGAGATCAAAGGAAGAGGGTGATTCTTCATTTTTTCCTAGCATCACGAAGCAATCTATTCACTCTATCACTTCCATTTCACATCAAAGAAAAAACTACCAGCCCTTTCTCTAGCAGCTATAAAGGTCATTAACTCGTCACTACAAGTTTTCTCCACTACACCAGATTTAATAAGGCACTCCATGTTTCATTATGATTCTCTCATCTGTTAGCAAGTGTTATGTCTTACATGGTTAAAGCGGTTGAAAGAGTTGTAAGCATTTAGAAACAAGATTTATTATTTCCAAATCAGGGACAACTGCAATATCAAACATTGTAACATTACACCTCAATGCATCCAAATTCTCTTCGACAAAACAGCAGGCTTCTATTCTTTCCCCCCAAAAAATTGTTTTTTGGGGGTGAACTGCAACATTTAAGTTGTTGTGTTTCCTTTCAGAATCAGAAAGAACCTCCCACCCCCCAAAAGAGAAGATTGAAAAAAACGAAAGCCGTAAACTCCAAATACAATATCTTGAACGCTAAATCCGCATACCCCAATGGGAGGTACTACCATAAGAACATACACAGAGACATTGATGGGAAGGTCACCTGATGGAAACCGAAGCTCGTCGAAGTGCCCACATTGAGACGGTCTCCGATACCTCTGCGCTTGGAAATGGGGAAACGGATTGAAGAGAAATTGTCTGAAGAAGAACAGATGCTCCGTGTATAAAACCCTGAACCCTAATTGGGTTTGCAGTTAAGTGGCTGCAAAGACGGAGTATTATAATAAGAGATCTTCTATTATTAATCATCAAAGTTATGTCTCGGCAAGTGTGAAATGTTGAATGTGCACTTATTTAAGAACGGAGGAAGTATATTGTAAACAACATATATGATCACTAGGAATAGATCAAATAAAAAGAGGTTATCTCATGCAAAGTGTGAACAATTGCACTTTTTCTTCATCGCGTTGCACTTTTGCGTGTTTCTGTTGCACTTTTTCGCGATGGCAAAAAACTTCGTTTTAATTACGAACTTGCCACCGCGTTTTTTATCAAATTTAGTTCACTTTTGGCTCATTTTGAGCCATTAGATCTCAAAATGAACACACGAGATTAATTCTCACTTTGCATGGGAAGATCTCTTTGTATTTGAACCATCCCCTATGACCACTAAATACATTTCTAAATATAAAATATTATCATTTCTAATGTAATAAATAGGTATAAATAGATATTCTCCCATATATACAATGTAAAAATTGCAAATTGCTTACAAATTGATGATCGCCGCAATCTATCAAAAAATTCCAGAATGCTTCTTCCACCTGCCATCACCGGACTGCCCGTCACCAATGAGCATGGTATGCCCGTACCACATATGACACCATTTTTCTTTCTATTAGGAGCACTACGCATGTTTTTTGTTCTTTTCCCAAATTCCCTTAAGTCCATCCACTTTCTTTTCTCTCAAGTCATCCAATGCTCAAGGTATGCTATTTCTTTCTCTTTACTTTTCTTTTATTTTCTTCAATTCTTTTCTTATATCCATCAAAATACTAAAAAAAATAAATTCTGATTTTACCTATCTTTATTTTTAACTAATTTAATTATAATTGATCAATTAACTTCTTTTAAAAAAATTATTACAACATTTTATTAATCCCATAAAATAAGTGCAATGCATTAATAATCATACACTACTTTTGCCAAAAAAAAAAAGGGAAAGTTCCCGAAATAGAACTAAAATAGTTTGAAAATTTGAAAATAGGACTGTCATGTTTTTTATTCCCGAAATAGAAGTAATTACTGCCAAGTTTAGAAAATATTGCCATGTTTGAAGTCTGATACTGCCAAAACATGACAGTAATTAGTCTTATTTTGGGAATAAAAACATGACACTCCTATTTTGGGATTTTCAAACCTTTTTAGTCTTATTTCGGGTAATATTCTCAAAAAATAATCATACACTACTTCTTTACCTTTTTGTTCAATTGAAATTACTACCGAATTTATAATTTTTTAGATGTTTTAAGACATTGAGTTCGTTGATTTTGATTTTTGAAGTTATATTTGATAATATATCATGAAATTACATTTTCTTCTGCGCAAGTTACATCTTAATGTACGCGAATTACATCTTAATATACACAAGTTATATCTTAAAGTATGTGAGTTACACCACGGAATAAACTCCAGCTATATCATTGTTATTGCCCTAATATTAAAAATAAAACATATTCACTGTTTATAAAAAAGTAGTTAAGCTATTAGGATCAATTTTTCATTGTTTACATTGAAATCAATACTTATAATATCTCAAACAAAAAACAATCATTATTCAATTTTCCAACAAGTTACATTCTGTATACACATAAGTTACATTTGCCATCAACGCAAGTTACATTTGTAACAACACGAGTTACATTAAAAAATCAACCCCTGCTATTGAAACAAAAAAAATGATCTTTTCTAAAAAAATATTTTTTATGGTCACGATATTAAAAACAAAATATATTCCCGTTTTACCTAATGCAATTGTGCAATTAGACTCTCATTTTTCATTGTTTACATTGAAATCAATATTTTATTCCTTATTCTATGTATTTGACAAGTTACATTTCGAACGGACTTGAGTTACATTGATCAATAACGCAGGTTACATGTCTCTACACACGAGTTATATCATTCATGCTATTGGGACAAAAAGGAAAAAAACAGCTACTGTTCATACGTGTACTGTTCACGCGTTTTTTTTTAAATTGTGCAAATCTACGTCGTTTTTGGAAGTGAAGCATGATGCTCAAGGTGCGCCGGTTGCACGGTATACGACTTAGAGGAATTGACCTGCCACGAATGGATTAACAAGATTATGCAATCGGAAAGGATATACTACGTATCATTTACTAATCACTGTGATAGTATACTTTCACTCAAGTAGTCAAGTACAGTGGTGAAGTGCTTTAATAAAGGGATAATTTAATTTTGCATACCATACTTTTGACTGATATTTGACTTTGCATCACATCTTCAAAAACATTAATGTGCGCACTCATCCCTACAAAAACTGTGAAGGAGTGAGATGAAAAGTCAGATAATTTTATAATGAATTGGTGGATAAATTAATTATTTTGAGAATAGTATTCAAAGTCTAACATAATCTTAAAAATTAAATGAAATGTTAAATTATTCCTTAAATATATAACAAGGTGAGACAAATGATATAAATTCTATTGCGTGGTCCGTACTAAAGTTTATTTTTCGGTACTAACTCCGTTCTTAAATAAATGTAACATATTGAATTTTACACTATTCACATGTTGTACTTTGACTACGTTTTATTATTAGTGTATTAATATTTTTTTTATGAAAAAAATATTGTTAAATTTGTCTCATTCTAAATCTTCAAAATCTATTTTTCTTTTTAATTTTTTACTAACACAAAATTATATATATTAATGATCAAAGTTGTGTCTCGGCAAATGTGAAATGTTGACAATTGCATTTTTTTAAGAATAGATGAAGTATATGAGTATGCCTGACACAACTAGCTCATAATATACTTTTGTAAGCCTTTTAGTAGCTCTTAGCTATTAGTGAATGAAAAAAAGTTTAAAAGAAAAATGTGGAAGCCGTTTGATAAATAAAATGGCTATTTGATTTACTTTCTTTTAATATACAAGATGTTGTGACTATTTAATACTAAAACTTATGAACTTTTCTGAGATGCTACTTGGTGTAGCTTTCAAAAAAACCTTTTATTTTGCAAAAACCCCAAAAAATTGTCCCACCAAACGTACAACTAGAACTTTAGATAAAAATTCAAATAATTCGTATTATCCTTTTGGGGACATTTTTAATTATTTGTCCTTCTTTCCTACTTTTTCATTTACACCTTTTAAAAAATGAGCTCTTAAGTACTCCATCCGTCCCAAAAACAACTTTATTTTCCACACATATTAAGGAAATAAATTTAATGGGGGTGATTTTACTGTTTGGACACTGTTTAGATAGTGTTTGGACATTGTTTAGCACTGTTTGACACTGTTTTGATGTAGATAATTTGTCAAATAAAGAAGTGGGAAGAAGTGTGAAGTTAATTTTGGGACATACATTCAAGGAAAGTGGGAAATTGTTTTTGGTACGGAGGAGTAATTCAATAGGCTATGGGTGAATATATGCTCATTCCTCTTTTAAGCAGAAAATGAAACCCTAAAGTGAATCGGATGCAAAAGCTCAGGGAAAAGCAAGGCTAACGAGGTACAAGGTTGGTTCATATATGTACTTTAATGAATTTCAGGATACATGAAACATCTTCATACAAAAAAGACAGTTTTTATTTGTATTTCTTTTAATTTTAGTTTGGATTTATTGGTGGTTCCAGTTTTGGTCGTTAGCATGGAATTAAACGGACAAAAATCATCCGGGGATCATTTTGATACTAACGGAGCATTTCGCAGGCTGTCTTCCGACGCATCCAATCGGAAATATAGGCGTCGGTCTCCAGTTGGTCGTAAAGGTTCAACCGATGGCTTAATATTAATAATGCATTTTCCTTCAAATCTCTTAAGCTTGCCTTTTACTCGTGATAAAGTTGGGGATTCTGGTATCGTTCTCTGATGATTATTTGAAGTGATTCCATCTTCGTTTGCTATATGTGAGCTGTTCTGTTAATGGGTCGTAGCTCCTCCAGGTAGAGCTTGGTCTCACTTAGTCGAAATTTTTGGACATTTACTTTCATGTTTGCATGGGTCTAACAAGAAATGGAATGTAGCTATTGTTGGAACCTAAAGTTTTAAAGGGCGGTTTGGTTTCGGGATTTCAAAGAACTGGATACCCTATTAGAGTTTGGAAGCAGATCTTTAATTTTCTGAAATACTTTTTTTGTAAAAAGATCTTACTTATATTTTTCTTATTCAATCACTTGTTTATTTTTTTGTTCAAATCTTAAGTTATAAAATACGTCAGTAAATTTGCAACTTTGTGAATTGCAAGTGTATTTAAATGCGGGTTCATAGTTGTAAAGTTTCTTTGTGATGCACGTTTGTTGTTCAATGTTAGTGATTTGCGGTTTTGAAACATTTTGTCTCTTCCCTGTATTGGCCTGTAAAACTGAAAGTGCACTACTTGATAATGGTAAATGAAGACCACGTTTTCGTATGTTTTTAACACTTCAAATGTTCTAAATGTTGCTTGAATATTTGAGTTTTACACATAACACACCTTACAAAAATGTTGCCTTTAAACAGCCATAACCTCCTATCCTGGATTCAGACTAGAATCATCCATACAAGGTTTCTATTGGCACAAATGTGGAGTCTGGAACTAGCGATTTGGTTTGGGTTCCGGTTCGGTTCGGGACACTGGATTCGACGCAAAGCATATGCTGTTGGATTGTTTATTATCAAAAAATATAGTTACTTTCATCTCTGTGAAAATAGTTACTTTCATCACTGTAGAACATTTTTTACAGTGAAAACATTAGCCTCTCGTATGAAACTCTTACTACTTTATGTTGGATAGCTCTGACGCTCCAAACCTGCATCTGATATACATATTCTGCACATGAGCTCCTTATGATTAAAAAATGCACTGTGATATGATTAATCATTTACCCGGACAAAGAGCATGCCTTTTGTATTTTGGTGTAGTTATAATATTTAGCTACCCAGACAAGCTTAATTAATCATAACACTGATCCAGTGTACAACGCAAGGCGTATTTGACACTTTTTGAGCCATGATGGGGGTTTGGCGCTTTAAACCCCCTCATATTGTTATGAAACTGGTAAAAAATAAATAAAATAAGATAAAATAAAATAAGTGTGGCAAAATAAAAATGAAATAGGTGTGTGTGTTGCTTCTATGTCGGGTAATTGTCACTTTGCATGTTGGAAGTAATTATAGCTTTATCTGTAAAGATAGGCCATATTTTTTTTATAACCACTTATGAGTTATGAATAAAATATGTTCTTTGAATAATTCAGGTAGCCCTGTCCGTAGTAGGACTTCCAGTCTATCTCCAACACGGAAGAATTCTGAGAAAAATGGCGATATTGATCGCAGAAGGACAGATGATGAAAGAGATTCCGGAACTAGAGATAAGAGACATTCCAATAACCAATCTTCTAGAAGTTCTCATAGACGCACTGCATATGATGATGACTATGCGCGGCATGGCACAAGTCATAATGATGAAAATAGGGACTCTACAAAATCTTCCCATTCATTTAGGAACTCCAGAGACAAACATTATCTGGATCACTCAAGCAGAAATGTTGATCACCGATCAAGAGACTATCCACATCATGTTGACAAACACTACCGAGACAAGTATGATGGAAACAGGGATATGGGAAGAGAAACATCGTACCATGAGAATGTAAAGCAAAGAAGTAAAGATTCAGTGTCCGATAGAGTTGGGTCTAGTATGGCACATAGTGCCAAGGAAGGGGACATGTATAATGAGTATAGAGAAAGTAAAAGTGAGAAGACGGACCACAGGAGAGATGAGAAGTTTTCTTCTAGCAAAGACGAGGTGTTTGTGGCTAAGAGGTCTAAGTTTGATATCATTGACGTGGAGACAAAGAGCGGAATAGATGGTATTTGCTTAAATTTGCTTTTGTTACTTGTGCATATTTGTGACTTTGTTCCTTTACAAAAATCATTTATCCTTTGTAAATTAGTTGCCAAGCCAGCAATTTGCGCAGATGAAAAACATTATTCAAGTCCAAAGCAGGGTGAAGTTTCTTCGGATCAGGGAGTCAAAGACTCTGATATAGATGCTGCAAAAGTTGCTGCTATGAAAGCTGCTGAATTAGGTATACATTTGTCTTGCACATTGACTTTTATTGTTTATTTTCTTATTTTCTTAATGCCAATTTGTTATGGAAAAAATTGTTCCAGAGACGGACTAAAAGATGCTGAGAAGGTCTTTTCTCTAAATAAGATCACATGTGTTTTCTTTCTCTAAAGACTAAAGTAGATTTTCTTTAGTAAAGTTGCTACCAAATCTACCATTGTGTTAGATAATTTTCCTACCATCAAGCCTGCCAACTGACTAGAAACGCTAACTCACTGACCAGGGTGGTAACTCAGGGTGGTAACTGGTCAGTGACTCATTCAGTACCTATCCTTGTACTTTGAACACCGCCATTGGCTCACTTGGGGGTCAGCAGCTGATTAGTGGTTGTCAGTGAGAGCTGTGAGGCGGTGCCGGCGGTGGCCAGTTCCGCTCAGTGAGTCAGTGACTCACTGGCCCCTGGTCAGTGAATCATCAAAATGTTTCGTGTGTTTGCAATATGGGAGAGTTTGAGAGTAATATGGTTGTGGTTCATCTAATTCAAGTCATTTTATTAGTCTTGTTCCAAGAAAGATGTTATATTCTGGTTCTACATGTAGAAATTTTCCTTTTGCTATATCTTTTCAAGTGTCCTAAGAATTGGAATCCAGATGATATCTATAGTTTTTTATTTAGATGCATGCTGATGTGCCCATATGGCCATACACACACATTGTTTGTCCACACTGTTTACAGTTTCTCTTAATTGAGTATGGATAAATGGGGTTGGCCTTCAAATGGAGGAGAAACTAGTTGAGAGTTTGAGGCTCCCCTCCTTTCAATGAGGGCTTTTCTATTTTTATTTTACTATTTTTAGATACAAATGATTCATAGTAGTGTTTATTAATGGAAGGGATGCATAAATTTCTCATGTTTTGTTTTGCTATGTTCCATTTTGATTTTGGTGGGAAATGGCAGTTAATAAGAACCTTATTGGAACTGGTTGCTTGACTGCTGATCAGAAGAAGAAGCTATTATGGGGAAACAAAAAGAGTAGTTACAAATCTGAAGAGGTAATTTTAGTCCCTCATCCTATTCCATTGTCCTTTTTTGTCCATTTGCAAAGTGGAAATATAAGTGAATAACACAGGCTCTTTCAAAATTTCACAGGAATTTCATGACCACATAACAGAATCAATCAGATGAATATTTTTTTATCTTCTTCCTTATTGTTTTTGTTTTGAACCATTCTAACCCTGTTTTGCTCCCTGCATACTGCTCCCAATCCACATGTACAGTCTGCTCACTGCTGGGACACATCAACATTTGGTGATCTAGAAAGACAAGAAAAATTTAACAAACTCATGGTAATTTCACATCTCTTTTACTTTATTGTGTTACTGTTTATCTACATGGGATTTGTTCTTTCATTTAAAAGGAAAAAGCATAATTAACTAGCAATCTAATTAAACTATTCCGATGTACTAACACACTTTTAGAGTCTGAGGGTGTATTGGTGGTACCTATGGGGAATTGTAGGGAGTGAAGGGCAATACCAGCGTGGAGCACAAACCACCAGGTGGGGTCGTCCCCGAAGCTGCTGTAGAGAAGCAGAGGGAGCAGCAGTTGCAGATAGACTTGGAGAGACAATATACTGCCGGACTTCGTCGAAGAGATGGGCGTACTGTTGGATTAGGCCTTTAAGAATATGTTTTGAGCGCCTTATCATGAGGTTCATCAAGATCACAGTCACTTTGGTAGTGTCTTGCATGACGTTCTACTTTTCTTCTGGGTTTGCTGGATATAAGTTTTATTTAAACGGGTGTTTAATGTTTCCCTATGGGCTCGGCTTGCAGTGTATTTGGAAATTTATAAATGATCTTTACAGAAAATATCAGCCCCCTCTAGACAAGTTAGGCATGGCCTTGGTTCGGGCTGGGCCGGGCCTCGGTTCGGTTCCGACCGGGCTTTTTTTGGAGAAGAGAGGCCCGGAAACCGGTCCGGGTAGCTCCGGGCCCGGGTCGGGCCGGTTCACCCATTTTTTTTTTCATTTTCTAATTACTTCCTGGTTCCTACCCCCACCCCACCCACTCCAAAACACCCAGCCCAACCCATTTATCTTTTAAAAAATGTGAAAAAATTTGGCTTGAACCGGGCCCGAACTGGCCCGGCCGGTTCATCAAAATCAAGGCCTGGGAATTGGCCCTCTACAGTGCTGGGCCAGTTGGCCTGAACCGCTCAACGAACCGTGGACCGGGCCGGTTCGGGCCGGAATAGTGCCGGTTTGGGCTGCAATAGTGCCGGTTTGGGCTGGTTTCAGTTCGGTTAAAGTGTTAAACCGGTCCGAGTCCATCCCTAAGACAAGTAGGCACCACTAGTTCGGAATTCTCAGAAAATGAGGATCATGTTGCAAATGTTGCAAATGTTCTCTTAATGATTATGGTAGTAACCCTTAAGTAATTATTGGTTGTATTTATATAAATAAGTTTCATTTTAGTAATATTTTATAAAAAGCATTACTTAATAAATTTCAAACAATTTTTTTGAAAAAATATTATCGAAAATCTTTTATTGAAAAATATTTTATACAATTCTTTGTGGGTTTTTATGTTTTTCGCAATTTAACCAATTCATACATTTAATCAATAATTGTCTCTGTGTAGACAATTGTTGTTATGTTCACATATAATAATGGTTCCTGTGATCATTTTTAGTTATCTCTGTTCACATAAATTTTATCACACATACAATAATTATGTTGCTCATTGACGATAGTCGTTGGTATGATCCATTTTAGTTGTCTATGTGATCAATTTATATTATCTAGGCAAAAAAATATAATTGCCTATATGCGTCCAAACGATTGATGTAGTTGTACACTTGTACGTGTGATCAATTTACTTGTAATATGAAATAATTTAAAAGTTAATAAAATAGATGAAAAGAAAGAATTAAGTTGATTTTGTGCAAGTAATGAATGAAATTGGGAATAAAAGTAGAGAAGAAGATGAATAAGAGAAGAAGATGTCCAATCTTTGATTGGATATCCGAATGGGCTGGATAGAAAGAGGAAATCGAGAAGAGAGTGTGAAAACAGGAAAGGGAGAGGAGAAAAGAGAAAAAACAAAAAAAGGATGACACCCCATTCCTGAGAGGGCCCCCAACCCCAACTGGATGGTATGTTGGGAGGATATAAATTGGACTATAATCTCAATATGATAAAGAGAGAGTGAGGTTCTATCCCCAGTACTTGTAGAGGCCCTTGTGGCACTCCCTCGCTATCAGTTGTGTTACGTCCACCGGTTAAGAAAAAGAAAAAAAGAAAGAAAAAAAGTATAACTAGAGTACTAGGCAAATAATTATGGTCTTAGATTTTACATGCCTGCCATCTCCGGAATCAAGCATCTCCTTGTGGGTTTTATTCTAGGTTAGATTTACTGCAATTGGCTAAGATATGATACATCTGAACTTTTAAGATTTAGTTTGGTGTAAGAAAGACAAAAACACATGAGAATTTGAGATTGCACTATAGGACTACTTCAACAAGCAGGCAGATGTATACATTAATTAATTAATGGATATGGTAATACGGAGAATTAATTATAGTGGCGCCAAAATCAAATTTCATTTCATTTTTATTTTGAGAAAATTTCATTTCAAATTTAAAAATCCATTTGTTGTTTATATTGACAAGATATTTGAGTGTAATCTTATACTCCGTAATTAATATTTAGAAATTGCATAGAGAATGGTTTGTCATTAGCTCTTACGTATCTTTTTGTCTTATTAATTAATTATTTCAGGGTGACAATTGCGGTACCTATTTAAAAAATGGGGTACCGTATTTACCATTCACTTGATTGATCAAAATCAGTATATCACTTTTAATTTAGATTTAAATAATTAAGCTGCAACATTCTGATTGGTTCATGTGGACGAAGGTATGGACGTATGACATCTTATGGGTACCATAGAATCTACCATATTTCAGAACGAACATTAGAAATTAAAAGAATAAATTAAATTGGACTAAAATTGTTTTTAGTTCCTGTAAATTTAGTACATTTTGTTTTCCATTTCTGCAAAATAACTTTTTTGTTTTTCAATTCGTGAATCATATGTTGAGTTTCCTTTTAAAATGGAAATTTCTTTGGACGAGCTCTTTGACGATCTACTCTTCTAGCTTCTTCTCTCAGGTTAACAAAGTTTTGATGATTTTGGATGTTCTCCTGTGATGGATAGTGTACCCGGGGGTAGCTTATCCGAGGGGTTATTGCTGAGAATAACTTAGAGAGAAGTCAGAGCACACGTAAGTAAGAGAGAGAGAGTGTATTCAGTATGAATGTCGTGGTTTACAACGGGAAAAAGGGGGTGCTATTTATAGTAGCAATAAATGCCGGACAGGGACACGTGTCAAGCATCCATTGGCCGAGAGGTCACCTCATCCGGTTGGCGCTGACAAACGCATGTGGCCGCATTTAATGCAGCTGTTGGATGGGACGTTGTACAGGGTACGGTGATCTGTACGCATGTGACGCGGATATCATGTCGGGAGAGATGCCCTCGGCTGCAGAGGACTAGCCGAGGGCTCCTAGTGCCGAGGACCTCTGAGTGCCGAGAGCTCCAGGTGCCGAGGGCTACTATTTTCGCCGTTTTCTCCCAGTTCCTCTGTTTGTTCGAAATATCCACGCTGTGATAGTTTGGAGCCTTCGGCCAGGGGGCCGAAGGCACCCCTGGTGCGTATTGCGGGCTGCTTGGTACTCTGGGCGCCGTGATTTGGGCCTGCTTGAGCTTCCTGGGCCGGTTGGGCCTTCATTGGTGTAGTAAGAGTCTGTGGGCCGGGTGTTCCCGGGCCATATACTCCATCAGGAGTCCCTCACTCCTTTTGCCGAAAGGTACTTGAGGGAAAAGGAGTAATTTGTGTTTGTCCCCTGCCGTTGTTCCGTTATAATTTCTGAGGTTGGTTTGTTGCTTGCATGTCCCTGCCGAAGGCAGTCCATCAGTTACCCACATGTCAGGACTTGAGGGCTTGCTTTGCCGTTTGTTGGAAATTTTCACCATTTTTGTAATTTAATGATTTCCCGAGGGGGTCCTCCAGTCCCCCACTCCTTGAGGCACTTGTAAAGTGGTGAAAAGGAGTAGAGTAGTTGCGTTGCTGTTGTGGGCCGAAGGCTGACGCTTTTCGTTTCATTTTGGGGAAATGCCTCGTTAAAAACCTCATTAGGAAAAACCCTATGGGAAAAAATCCTAATGAGGGAAAAAGAGTGCACCGAATTCCCCCAAGGATGAATCAAAAAGGTTAAAGCCTTGGTTTGGAATGAAGCGAAATGTTGATGCCGAAGGCTCTCATAGTCTGAGGGCATGTTTGTTGTATTGCCGAAGGCACGCTGTTGATGTCCTGGGAGGTACCGGGGGGCCCCGATCTGGGGATCGAGGGCGTGATGAATGAGGGCAGTAGTTGAGTTGTCACCGGGGGGTCCCCTGCTTGTTGATTAGTTGGTGATGGGGGTATCCGAGGGCTCCCATTGCCTGCGTGCTGTAGGCTATCCGTCAATGAGGCATACTCCCCGGGGGCTATTCGGCCCTTACAGTGCTGAGGGGGAATCCCCGAGGGGTGGCCTGATATGAAGCCTTGGGCTTCTGAAGGAGTGATGCCGAAGGCGTCTGTTATGTACTGTGTGGGGCACAAACCGGGGGTGCCTCTGGGGTAAGTGTACCTGGAGGCTCTCCTTGGTGAAGTGGAGTGAAGTAAAAAAAAGTCCCGGGGCTCCCAGAATATAGCCGTTGGAAATATAGCCGTTAGGGGGGGTACACGTGGCGCGTGATGGTTGGCTGTCCGTGGGCGGCGTCACCGATTGGGCGATACCGCGGTTTGTAATGATGGCGATCCAACCGGAGGCCCGGTTTCCAGGCCCAAGCCCGGATCTCAGCGCCTATAAATACCCCAAGGCCAGGCCACTCTCCGCTGTGCGATCTCAGTGTAGCGAAGCTCTGGCAAAATTTTTCTAGAGAGAGAAACTTGCCCTCGATTGAATCCTCGGTTCTCAAGGTCAGTTCCCCCCTGCTCTTCTCCTTCTAGTTAGCTGTGCCTTGTGCCCTTAGGCTAGGAGATAGAATTTTCTAGGAAACCCTTAGTTCTCCCGAGCCTTCGAATTAGTGAGCAGATGTCATCACAGAGCGACTCCCAGGATATCTCGGGGGATCGGAGCCTTCGGTCGAGATGGAGACATGCTCAGATGTGGAGTCCTCGGCGGGTGGTGATGCCGCAGTGGCCATGGAAGTGGAGAAGGACCTCCAGGCCGAAGTCGAAGCCGAGGGCTTCGAGCAAGAAAACGAGGACGAAGAGCTCGCCCTCGCCGTGCAAACCGCCGAGCAAGAAGAGGAGAGGGATAGGATGAAGGTGACGGTTGCCATTCCTCCCCCCGGGGTGCCGGGGAAGCCAGCTCCTCCCGGCCATTGGACCCGACGCCCATCAGTGTGGCTCCCGGGAAGAAAAAGAAGATGAAGGCGGCCCCGAGGAAGAAGCAAGCGGCAGTTGATGCCGGGCGACCGGTGGGCATACCCGAAGGCCATTCGTTTCTGAACACTGCCGCTCTAAAGCTGAAGACGAGGGCGTCCCCGGCAGAATACCAGGCCACTCAGATGCTGGTTGGCCCTTCGGCGCGCGTGGTGGAGCCCAGGGCGGATGATTTGTTGCGGTATGCGCCCGAAGGGTGTTTTGCTGTTCACACCCTCTCGGTGGAGATGAGGCTTCAGTTTTCGCTTCATCCTTTTCTCTTGGAGTATCTGAGGTTTGTGGGGTTGGCCCCCTGCCAGCTAACGCCCAACAACCACTCCTATGTGGCCGGCTTCCTCTCCTTGTGTCAGAGCCGGGGGGTTGAGCCCACACTTG